CGTCGAAGTGCACTACCGGTAGTACAAGCCCCGGGGTTTGTTTTTACCCTACCGGTCGGCCCTACTTTAGGCAATGGGGGGGAGCGGTGGTTTAATGGAAGTGGGCGTCCTGTAAGAGGTCGAGGCTATTGCATTCACACTTCTTATAGTCCTACTTCTAGCCATGCACGCACCAGAAGACTCCACAACGTGCCACCCGGTACCAGGCCCAGTAATCCGGGACCGGCCTGGGCATCTTTACCACATAAAGGCCTAATTCAAAACCAAAGTGGGGTCTACCAACAAACGAATAAAACAGACAAAGCCCTTACTCGGAACAGACAGGTACCATCCACAGTTATTACCTGACCGGTCGAGGTCAACAGGACATCAGCATAGGCACTTCCCCTATGCCGTCCCAAAGGCAAAAAGCCAAAAAAAAACAGTGCTGCCAACTTTTTGGTTAAAACCCTGTCAGAATATTCTCACAAATCAGCCGTCTTATGGTAGCAACCCTGCCAGAATATTCTCAAAAGTCAGTTGTCTTATGGTACCAGGCCTGTCAGAGTATTCGCACAAGGCAGCCGTTCGTCATAGCGTGATGCATCTGTCAAGCCCGTTAACGAGCCAAAATGTTAGGAAACGTACAGGCCACTAGAGGAGCGCCCAAATTCATCCGTCTAGAAATGTTCTACTCTATTTTTTTCCATGGCCTATAGCTGGGCCAAGTGCTGGTGGTTTAACAGGAGGCATCCTTTTTTATAGCTGAAAATCCGTTTCAGCATCCCTTACATCTTTTAAACCTACAGTAAGTATGTGGAATTCTTCAGACCTGCAAATCAGCAATTCAGATTGTGTGGCCATTCAGCCCTCCTGGCAGGTAATGAATGCATGACAAATGGCATTTTGATTTTTGAACTTTCTGCATATCTGTTGCTCATATTCTTTAGATATTTACAATATCCCCCCCGTTCTCTTTCTTACAAGTGGTGGTGGTGGTGCTGTGCTTGGTTTTGTCCTTCTGGTTGGGGGCTGTCTTGGTTCTGCCGCTGGCACCTTTTTCTCGAAATGATTGCACGAATCAGACGGTTGTGGTTGCAACTCCTGGAAGGCTGATGGACCTGATGGAGGAGGGAGCGTGCTCCCTTCAGCACGTCGATTATCTGGTGGGGGAATGAAATACCTTGCCTGAGGAACTATCTTGTGTGTCCTCCTTACCCTCATCATAAATGCATACGACCTCTCTTTCCAGTCAGATACGGACTTCATGCATGCCTGTACCTGGCAGGTTGTCCTCTTTTCCCTTTGCCTGCAAAGCTATCTTATGTCCTCCTCCCCCTCATCATCAATGAATACAAAAGCTATCTTTCACAGTCCGATACAGACATCATGTCCGCCTGTGTTCGGTTACTTTGTCCTTGTTGTTTCGTGTGTTGGAACTCCTTTCGTTAATCGACTTTGGTCATGATCTCATCTGTATTCGAAGCAATTTCCAGTTCAGATTCAGATAAAGCTAAGACGACTGCACGTTGTGCCTGGGGGAAGGCAGTGATAAGCACTAGTGTTTTCACGCGAATGGAACGCACGGTCATTATAGCTGTATTTGGGGCAATTTGCAGTGGCGGTGTGATAAGCAGTACTGTTTTCACGCGAATGGAATGTGCGGTCATTATAGCTGTATTTGGGGCAACTTGCAGTCTACATACAGGGATAATGACCATGCGTTCTATTTGGGGAAAGACGGTAGGCAACTTTTTTTTGTGGATGTTTCTCTCTGCCATTTCTGTGAGCTCATGCGGTCAGATAGAGAGGTCTGACAGAATGCCTAAATGATTGGTTCTTCCCTCCTGGGAACAACTTTGTGCCTTGGGGCCTTGCCGCACGAGCCACCAAATGTGGCGAATGGAGCATGTATATCCGGCTAGAACATGGAAAGGTACACCCGCCATGGCTTGTCCTCTTCACATTTGGTGAGCGATGCGGTCAGGCCCTTGGACTGAGGGAGGAGGCTGTGATGTTATGGGTGACTGACGAGTACTCTCCCATGCCTTGAACTGAAAGAGAGGCAATGTTGTGGTTCAAACACCCAGTTTTCTTTTTTTTCCTCGGTCTCTGTGCTTCTCTAATTGTGGTATTGCCGTGTTCGACTACTGTCTTCACCTGAATAGAACGCCCGGTCATTATCGCTGTATCAAGACCAAGATTTGCCCCAAAATACCGCTATAATGACCGGGTGTTCCATCCGGGTGAAGACGTCCCTCTTCCGCTAAACATAACGTGTGTGCATTATATCTGCTGTATCTGGCCTCAAAACTGCCCTAAAGACAGGTATACGACCATGCGTTATATTTGCACAAGGACGTATGGTGGTGCCCTCTCCAAGAGCATCATTGTTTGCAACACCATGGTGATACATGCACGCAGCGCACATGTGCGGTTGTGAGTATGGTTTTGCTTTTGCTTTTGCTTTTTGGGTTTGCTGTTTGCTGATTTGTTTTGCTGATTAGGTTTTGGCAATTGCTTGTGCTGATTAGGTTGTGCTGATTGGTTTTGCTAATTAGGTTGTGCTGATTGGTTTTGCTGATGGCTGAGATAATGCCTGTTTTGTTTTTACTGCCACGCCGCTGTCTTTGTGGTCAACTGTGGCATGTGCCAATCTGGGAACTGAGGAGATACATGCCACTGTTTATTACAAAGTGACCGTGATGTAGCAGTGACCCGGCAGTGCTCTGGTGAACGTATGCTATCGATTGGGCATGAAAGTTGAGTTTTTTCTGTTTAGTGCGGCATGTGCGGCATGTTTATAAACCAAGCTCTCTCTCTCTCTCTCTCTCTCTCTCTCTCTCTCTCTCTCTCTCTCTCTCTCTCTCTCACAGAGACACACACAGAGGATGGTTGCTGCCTTGGTAGGTGGGTGGGATGGTGTTTGGTTTTGTGTTTGTGTTTGGTTTTGGACTTGGCTTGGCTGGGCTTGGCTGTTTGTTTTGTGTGCTTGTTTTTTATTTTGTTTCTTGTTTTCAGATGTTTTTGGTTTTGCTGTTTTGGTTGACAGGATTTCTTTCTTAGCCTGCAGGGATTTGATCCTGGGACCTGTTGTTATTGCCTGACTGTTGCGGCGGAAGTTTGAACCTGGAACTGGGTGTTTGTGAGCGTTGACTGATGTTGAATTACCTGTGTGCCTACCTGTCGACAAACCGCGTGTTTGTGATCGTTGACTGAGCCTGTGGAGCCCTGAACCTGAGACCCGTTCTTGTGTACCCGTAAAGTCGATGCGTATTACCACTTGTGCAAAGTGTGCCTCCGGCAAGTTATCCAGAGGGTTTCAGGGGCAAAGGGGCAAAGTACCCCGGGAGACAAAACTCCTGAGTTTGGCATTTTGAGGGTTCGTTTGCTGTGATGCTGGTTCGAGGTGCAAAGTGGCAAGTACCCCGGGAGACGAAACTCCTGAGTTTGTCATTTTGAGGGTTCATTCCCTGCGGTGCTTGTTCGTGAAATCAAGCAGTGTGCTGTTTTGATGAAGAAGACGGTCAGAGCCGAGAAGTAAAGCGATCGTGTTACCATCTAGCAGTTGTTGATTTCCGTCCCTCCTCGTGTGCCCAGATAACTCCCCGTGTCAGGGCGCCTATAGTCCAGTTCCTCCTTGAGCACCTGGGTAGGAAGCGTGCTGTTGGTGAGGAGCAACACTTTGATCTTGACACCGAGAGAGAGAGAGAGAGAGAGAGAGAGAGAGAGAGAGAGAGAGAGAGAGAGAGAGAGAGAGAGAGAGAGAAGGAGACATGTTTGATATCCGAGGAGTTTGTTCCGTAGGAGTACTGCGTTGAACTCTGACTGGCAACTCGTTTTTCTTTTTCTTTTTTTCTTTTCTTTTTTTCTTCTCTTAAAAGGGCGACGGTCTTGAGATATCGTCATCGAACTGACCGGCCCTTTCAGGATTATAGTGTCTTACTCATCTGGAGTTCGAACTCAGGCAGGGCCTGTATTTCAACAGGTCAACGGTGTACCGACCGAGCTAGGCCAGTTGGTGATTTGCGACTTGTTGTAGTAGCGAGCTGCAGGGCTTGTAGAGTTGGATGTTCAATTGAAGCTTCACCTTTTACTTGGGTGGACAAGCTGTGTCGACCTGTTACCTCAACTTTGCAAGTGAGTGTGTGAGACTGTGGGGCTGACCTGCCCTAGCTGTATCATCTGTACTTTAATGGTGGGTGTGTGGTATCATCTGTAGTTTGGACATTGCATTGAGAATGGTGCAGCGGTTTTGTTGACAAAGGTAAACCATGAGTTCATGTGTTCGGTGAGAGTTTCGTAACTGCGCGCTCACATGGAAATGCATGGTGCATGAGTGTGAATCTCCTGAGTCCTTACATGGTTTTGTGTTTTTGGTTTTGTATTTTTGGTTTTGTATTTTTGGTTTTTTATTTTGGGCAGGGTTGGTCTTTTTTTTCTTTTTTTCTTTTTTTCCCCCTTTTTTTGTGTTCTTTCAATCATGTGTTTCTGGTTAAACCACCTCTTGTTTTTGGGACCTTTTTCTGGGAACCTTTCTCTGGTCCCCCCAAAAAAATCAAAGGTCGGTTAAAAAAAAAAGGTACTAAAAACTCTTACCAGGTGCTGGGTGTTCTTTTTTTTTTTTTGTGTGTGTGTGTGTATGTTTGCTTACATGAGAAAGCAGGTTATTGGAATTCACCGATTCGTCCGTCGGTTGGGACTGACATGGTGGCTAACGCATGTGTGAGTGTGTTTTTTCTCATCAGGTGCTCGATGAGGCGGACAGAATGCTTGACCTTGGCTTTGAAGCGGCAATCAGAGCGATCATCAAGACAACCAGTTCTTGTGAGTGCAATCCGATCTCACCAATTTGAAATCTCTCGCTTTCCTGTTTCTTCCTCTCGCTTCCTGTTCCGTGTTTTTAATTTATGTTTTTTATTTATTTATATAAGTTAATATAACAGAATGTAGGATTTCATTAAAATGTGACCTGGAGGCCAGAAATCCCTCCAGAATCAACCCGGAGGACTGGGTCCTGTTTCTTCCTCTCGCTTCCTCTCGCTTCGTCTTGTGGTCGAAGCTCTCGCTTCGTGTTCTCTTTTCCAGTTTTGCAAGAAGTTGTTATGATATATAATTATTATGTTCTAAATTCTAATAAAGAAATTCTATTGTGTACATAACTATGCGAGGGCCATGTAAATAGTTGGTCGACAAACCTGACTACCATCTTCTCCTGTATACATCATGCACCCTGAAAATGAATGTATACAAGCTATGTTTCCGGTTTAGTGCAGCCATAATCGGGGTGCGCTGTGTTTGGTGAAAGAGGGTAGTACATTTTGTCATGAGTCATAGAAGTGCATTGTCTGGGAACATAACTTCTTAAAAGAGCCGTAAGTTACCTTTTTGAATAAAAAAAAATCAGTTCATGTGGTGTGTCCCCCCAGTACTTTTCGGTATGAAGTACTATTAACTAACAAATAACGGATAGCGGGAAGAATCCGGTGAATCACTTAAAAAAAAAGATTAAAGTTTATGAAACGAACTTTCATGTGCAAGAGTCATGCCGATCTTGTAGTTTTATGTTATGATTTATGTTATGTATTTTGTACATGTTAGTACGACAAGTGTTGTGGATTCTGATACGTCTGTTTCCACTGCTGTCCTCTTTTCTTGTCTAGCACGGCAGACACTCATGTTCAGTGCAACCTGGCCGCAGGCGGTGGGACAGCTGGCGAGCGAGTTTCTGAATAACCCACTGAAGGTCTGTCTGTCTAGCTCGGCATTACTTTTTTCTATAAAAAACGAAAGTCACCTCAACGAGTAAAGGGAAAAGCTGAGAAATCTTGACTGACAAAAAAAGAAACAAAAAAAAAACAAGAGAGAGAAAATCATAAAAGAGAACTGTAGACTCAAACTTCCCTGGTAAGGGCGGAAAATCACCCCTCACAGATTGACTGGGAGGTTTCAGGCAATAAAAAAGGAGAGTGAGGCGTGGGATAAAGCGGGTCCTTGGGCGCCCGGGTATGCAGGATCAGGACTCGTTTACACATTTGTGGCAACAGCAGGAGGTCCTGATCGCGGTGCCCTCACATAATCAGAGCGCCGACAAACCGGGACTGCAAGGTTGAACTCATTTTGACCACCTTGAGTCGTGAACTTAGACTTGGGGGGTGTCCATGAGAAAGAAGAAGAAGAAGAAGAAGAAGAAGAAGAAGAAGAAGAAGACGTGGAGAGAGAGTAGTGGGTTTGGTGTGAAGGAGAAGAAGAAGAAGAGGAGTAAGAAGAAGAAGAAGTGGAGAAAGGAGTGGTTTTGGTGTATATTGCTCACACGGAAGCTTGAGGAGGGTTCAGTGTTGGAACTTCAAACTTCAATGTACACTCTTTTTTTTTTTTTTTTTTTTTTTTTYTGGTCAGCGTACATTTTTGCTGACATAGAGTTTCTCTGTTTTACGTACATTTTTGGCGAACCCTAGAAGCGCCAATCATGGGGTTTAAGCCTGAAGCCTGAAGGGTAAAAAAATACCAAAATGTTTACGAAAGAGTGACAGAAATGCACTCTGTATTTTGTTTGTGGTTGTAGTTATTTGTTCTTTTCTTTTTCTCCTTTCTCTTTCTTGTTTTTTCCCTTTCTGTTTTCTTTTCCCTTTCCTGAAGGTGGGAGGTTCAATGGGGAAAATCGATATTCCAAGTTTTGAGCGGGCCATATTTATTTCAATTGTTGATATTTCTGGATTCGTCTAGATGCATATGTGCTGAAGCTGAGAAGTGCAATGTGGTGGTGGTGGGGGGGGGGGGAAGAAGGGGAGAAGGGGAAGGGGAGGGTTGGGGCAGGTGGGGGTTGGTTGGGATGAATTCCACCCAGGGATTTCTGCATTCATTCTTTTGTACCTTTTCTCCCATTTTTGTCTTTTATTTTCCACAGTTTCACCCTATGCGAGGATATGGGTCCTCGGCAGGCCTAAGGGGCCCCCTGCAGCATATGTGCCCGCCCTAAGTGAAGGCGGGCCTAACAAATCACACGAGGCTCTTGGCTGTCAATTTCGCATTTGGAGTCCAGGCAGTTTCGTCGCGCCAGTTGGTTGAAGGGAAACACAGGCCGAGCAGTGTGGAAATGCCCAGGCCTTCTAGGCCTTTCCGAAAGCACAGGCCCTGGGCAAGATTCTCAGCCTCATACACAGACAGTTGGGAGGCCCAACCGAATGAGGCCCAGTAGCTGCACCAGAGGCGCAGTGTCCTGGGGCCTACCGGAAGCTTCTGGGCCCAGGCCAGTCCAGCCAGGCTGCTGAATGAGGCAGGCTCTTTCCATATAGGAAAGAGCTCGCTACCTGGCCAGCCATTCGGGCACTCGCATGCTGGCGGCAGCGCTGGTGGAGCTGAAGCTCGTGGGCTGCTGCTAGCGCTGAGCGGCGAGGTGCAGGCACGTGCGGTCGTGCAGGGAGCAGGGCGCTGCTGAGGGCAGCGCCATAGCCCAGCCTTCATAGCTGGCAGGGCTTGGATGTACAGTGAGGCGCAGCGGTGGTCTTCGGGTGTACAACAGAGGGAGACGTGGGAGAGAGTCAAGGGAGAGAGAGAAGGATGATGATGATGATGATGTGAGGGCACATACCTGGTATTGGCGATGGTTCTGCATGGGCGACACCTTCAAGTACTTCGGGTGCTGCTGACGTCAACAGTTGCATTGTCAATTAGTAGGCTAGTAGTAGCTGTGTAGGGAGTAGGCTGGGTGCCGAGCGCCAAGTAGGGAGATAGAGACTGGATACATATGTTGGTGGTGGCGAGAGCAAGCTCTCATTGACATTGACTTTCAGTGCTACGATTCTCTATTGGTGTTATATTGGTGCAATGCTGCTTCCTGAACACTGTGTTACGATTTGGCTTTCAATGTGTTTGTGCAATCTGAATATTGTCATCTCGCTTCTGTTCAATTTCCTTGCACCTACCTCGTTTGTTAAATAGTTATACCTGGCGATAATTTGTTGCTGTAATTTGTTGGCTGCAGATCACAGTTGGATCAGAGGATCTCGCTGCAAATCACAGTGTCACACAGATTGTGGAGGTGAGTGATGGTCGCATGCACACCCTTTGGACGGTGATGGTTCAAGAGCAATTTGCGAATGTTTTTGCGTATGATTTAAAAATATTAACATCACTTTTCTTCGTCTTCTAACGAGTCTTAATTTTGACTGGAAAATGTTTTGAGCTCACCAACACGTGCTCACTGTCATGAGCTGTCCTTTGGGAACATGAGTGGCAATCTGGGAGCAAGATATTCCAGTCGCTATGACCCGCCCAAAGACTGTCTCAATAGCGATCTGGATCCGGATTGCTATCTGGATTCGTATCCAGGTCCATGTCCAGAACATACAGACTTGAAGGTCCTCTTGCAGGACCAAGGGGAACTGTGCCCCGATGGCTCTCTCAATGTCAGTGCTTATCATATGAATTCACTATTGTAGTATTAATTATTAGTAGATTATTACTGGTCTTAAATATCAACCACACAAATGTGCTCAACATTGGTACAAAGTGTCCAAGGCTCGCATGACACACCACTGTGTACCTCTGGGATAGTGCTCAGCCTGAACGGCGTAATAGTACCTCGTTCCCGTGCGTGTTGCCTCCTATTATGGTGCCCCATCATCATGAACACATACGATGTGTCTGTCACAGAATGACAGCTATGGTGGAATAGGAATTGGCAGCTATGGTAACCCAGCTGGCGTTTATTATTATTATTTTTTTGGTTTTTTTGGGGTGTGTGTGTGTGTCTGTGTGTGTGTTGAGAGAGAGAGAGAGAGAGAGAGAGAGAGAGAGAGAGAGAGAGAGAGAGAGAGAGAGAGAGAGAGAGAGAGAG